GTCTCTGCAGTGCAATTCCATCTCTGTTTACAAACAGGCTTCCTTCCAACTCATTCATAAGTACCTGTACTATGCTTTCTACCAGTACTACGTAAACTAAGAACCTTTAAAGTTCAAACACAAATCACTTCTTTACTGATCTGGCCAATTAAAAAATGAAGAATGATAACAAGTTGTGAAATTTATCTTGTCACCAGACTAATTGCTACTCAGGGCTTCAAATTATGGCAGAAAAAATGGAGAACAAAACGGAACTGTTTATAGCTTGTTTGGATTCCAGATTACAAAGTACAGCATTATCTTTCTCAATGTGTGAGGAAATGCAATTGCACTATGGACCTCTACATCAAAAAAAAATCTGCTTTAATTATTTGGGTATTAAACCAGCAAGAAAAGAATTACTGTAGTTATTTCAGAGTTGCTTATTGCTTTCATATACATGATCTGTCTGCAAAGGTTAATACTAATTTGCCAAAAATCTTAGCTCATTTTACTACAGAATTAGGATTAGAATAGTGGGACAGTACAATTATTAGGATACCTGGTGGTAAGATCTCCTTTCTAAGGGGGGACTGGGGAAGTATTGAGGAGTAAAGGAGGAAAGAAAGGCTGCAATTTAAGTAAGTGTGAGAGTGTCCACAGATGGACAGTTAAGGATAGAGAAAGATTAAGTGAGAACTCAGTATTAAAGAGGAAAAAAAAAAAAAAAAATCAGTGACAAAACTAGGAGTGGACTACAAACCTTCCAAGTTTAATTACAGGACCTTAAACCGAGTGCATCTAAGTGCACCTAAAGCTCACTCACCTTTCTTTACTGAAAAAGTCAACCATAGGTACCAGAAATGAAATCCCACCAATCAAGAATAATCAAGATTACATTTTTAATGCTAACTCTGCCCCTCTCTTCTTTCCCCCCAGCTTCCAACTTCCCATCTCAGGGCTGTCAGTAGTTGTCAGCACATCATATGAGAAACTCATCTGAACATACAATATAACTTGACAGGCAATACATCAGAAAAGCTAGATGTGACAATGGCAAATTCCACCAGATGGTCCTGGATCATATCCATCCATTAAAAAAAAAAAAAAAAAGAAAAAAAAAAAATACACAGAAAAGCAGAACTCTGAAGAAAAAAAAAAAAAAAAAACAACAACAAACAACAATATCTGGTATATGCACTGTTTCACCCTTTGTCCTATCCATGCCAGCAAAGGCAACACACAATAGCTCTCCCTCATTTCCTCACCTTAATAGCAATATGTGTATTTCATCCTCCTACCCTAAAAAAAAGGCTTCTAAATAAAGATATCAGTCCATTAAAAAGCAGTATGTACTAGCAATAATGGCATTTCCCAACTGAGAAAACTCTCTCAATGACTCTGGAGTCTGGTCCTACTCCAGCATCAACATGGTCTCCAAGTACACCAAATCCAAGCAGTTAGCCCTGGGAGTAGCTGTGAACTTGGAACACTTTCAAGACTCCCTGTTTGCCAGCCTTCCCATCTCCCTGTTACTCCTTCAGGCATCACGAAGTCTGTTTGGATTCAAGCTGCCTACAAACCTCATCAGCCTTTGCAATGGCCCTTTTGGAACAGGCCTTGGATTGCCTTGGCCTCTATCAATCACAAAAACCTGTGAAGGCAGCTGAGCCCTGCAGGTCAAACACTGGCTGTCCACATCTAACCTCGATGCAGGTAAAACTGCCCTTGATACATGCAAACCTCAAACCACCTTCCAGCAGGATGGGAGCACAACCGACTCCTGATTCTGGCCTCAAGCCCCCACAAAACACAGTGCTGAGGCAGGCCCAGGGTCAGGACTCTGTGCCACCCTCTGGGAGGTCAGCGCAGTCCCATGGCACGAAGAACCAGGTTCAGAGGCAGCTCTGGGGGTTAATTCACTGCCAGGGAAACACTGAAGCTGTCACTGCACTTCAAGTGAGCGTCACCAGCCTGGCCACAGCAGCAGCTCAGCTGGGACAAAAGTGACAGGCCTGTGAAACATAAATCAAACCTGGGCAGGCTATCACTGCTCAAGCGAGACCTTCAGGGACACCATGCCTTGCTCCTGTTCTGCTCCTACCTTCAATAGCTGTGTGCAGATGTACATGTTTTATTCTGAAAAGTAATCATGTGTAACTGGAAAAAAATACCAATACCATCTATCCTTGTCCTCCCAATTACACATGCTCTGAAGTAAAAGGTTTTTAGTCAAATATATTTTAAATTGGTAAAGCAAGCAGATATGAATCTGAATGCACAGAGGGAACGAAGACAGTGAATAACATGGTGTTAATTTACCAAACATTTAACAGGACAGGATAGTGCTTCCAAGTTCTTTGGAAATCTGAGAGCTTCTTCAAATACAAAGCTGTGACTGTGGTAGAAAGCAGATCTACTCCCTGCCAGTGCACAAGCTGCACTCCACGGTTTAGGACTGAAGACACCTCTCTTTGGGCCACTGTGGCAAAATCAGTTTCCACCAAGAAACTACACTGAGACTTTAACAAAAGAGTATTTTGGTATATTATAAATACCTATTTTCCTTCCATTGCAAACTGTCCTTTGCTGTTAAACAAAGTACACCCATTTCCTGATTGAGAAACACCGGTGAGGGGGAATACTCCCAGTGCACTGGTGGGGAACTGGGCAGCAGTTGTGCTTCAGAAACTGCAAGTGAGTGGACTGAGCTCCAGAGATTACTAACGAAAAGAGCTTTTTTAGCAATGGTTGATTGTTACTTGCTGACTTCTGAAGAAGCAGTTTATTGTCTCCATCCAATCTATTTTACAGTTATCACCTTTAACACAGAGAGGAAGCTACTTTTACATCACAGATCCCAGAACAAAAGGCTTACAAGAAAGTCAATTCTCCTCTCCTCCTCAAACCAACAAGGAATATCCAATTTTTCACTCTGTCTTTGTCATTTTACATAAAAAGTCAGTGACATTTTCAAGTTTTGGTGCTGTGTACCAGTTTCCAATGCTGCAGAGGAACATAATTACATTTACAGACACTTTTGACTGGAACTTAAATGTTGTGACAGCACACAACGGTCTGCCAGAGATAAGAAAAACAGGCATTTAGCTCAAAATGTATGTTCTGATTAAACTTAAAATGGACAGCACCTTTTTAGTGGAGTGCCTTTTGGCATCTAGAAGTTTTTCTATAAATACTAGACTATGATTTTTCAAAACATCAACCTTCTACAGAGAGAAAAATAAACAACTTACTATTTAATTGTTCTAAGCTGAAATACTGTAAAACAGAAGGCATACAAATAATATGTATTTAATAAAATTGGCAAAATGTCACCTCCCATTTTTATATTTAATTATATCTCATTAGAAAAGCAAAAATACTGCAAATCAAAGTCCAAGAATCAGCTGTTTACTTTATTTATAGGAATTTCTGTAGCGCTTATCACCATAGCAACCAGGATCCTTTTTTTTCTTCTTGTTCAAAGGAAAAGTTGTAATTTTGAAATGTGATCCTTTGATGTTACAGTGCAAATAGGAACTTATGTCCTATGCTGCAAACATTTAGGCAGGTGCTTAAAGTACATGAATAGACGTAAGCCAAAGGCATGGTGAAAGAGAAAGAAACAGGGAAAGGGAAAAGGAAAGGAACCCAGAATCAAGTGAGAATGAGGGAACAAGGGCAAGAGTAAAGGGCTTTCCTATGAAAATTCACAGTGCACTGGGTCCTACTATATGCCACAATCTCCCCGGCTCTTTTTTTTCTGTAATAGTGACTGATTCATGGAGCACAGTTCAGTCAATCAAGAGCGATCAACAAGTTCCCAATTTTGCTGAGGACACCAGTGAACATTCTCAAGCAAGGGTTTCTAAGGGGAGAGTAGCTTACAAATGAGGCTGCAGAGGGCTGCCACTCTTTTGGGAGCAGAGAAGTTGGGAGCCTCACTTTGACTGCTACTCTCTTCTGATCCCCCAGCAATTAGCCATTATCAAATTCTCACAGAATTAATAGACCTTTTAAAAAAAATGCCATTTGCTCACAAAACATGAAAGAAATTAGTAAGTGAGAACACTGTTCCTGCATACACCATTATAGAATGAATTACTAGGTATGCCATGCAACTGCAGTTTCCCTGTGATACTCCTGGTGTGCACCAGCACACAACTACTTTTCAGACCCTCAAAAGAGATTTAAACTGGTTTTATACTATTTCATCTGGCTGCTTCCCATCACCATATAGATTATACACGCACATGCACAATGTAGCACTTCAGATCCTTTTAAAAGCTAATGAACTTCTAATTGGAACTGAAACAAAAAAGAAAGAGATCTTTGGCCTGCTGTCATTTTGTCACATAAGAGATCTTATCATCGAGATTTCCTCAAGACACAGGTCTGTGAAGTTATTACCTTCAACTCTGCAGTTAGTTCGATCCTATCTTCTTCATAAACCAATACTGTCCAAAGCAGTTAAATAAGGAGCGTTCAGCTGTTCCTAAACCAAATACAAAAATCTTTACACAAGACTGGTGGTTATTTTGTAGTCTTTTTTTTAAGCTGTTTTTTAAATAGGGCAGAAGCTCTATGCATGACAGCAGGAAAAGTGACAAGTTCCTTATCTGAAAAGCACCAGCAGGCACTGTTATCAGAGCAGACCAGCTCTTTTAAAGTAAACTGATGAAGCTATTTTTAAAAACACCTAATAACATCACAAAAGAGAATCTGATCTCTGCAAAGGTGAGCCACACAGCTCAGTACTCCTGGGAGGCAGCTAATGAAACTGAAGCTTGTCAGACACAGACTGCGTCCAGTAATTGGCTTTGAAAACTCGCAGTTTAAATTCCACCACGCTGAGTTCAATGTCCCACTCACAGCTTGCTCCACACGCAGGCAGAGCCGAGGGCTGTCTAGCATGACCAAATGTGAGCAGCTGCCTTTCCACTGCCTGTGCCACCAGGCCCAGCCTGGGTACTTGGAGAACAAAGTAAGAAATCTACTTTCTTCCAGCACTTCACACCTACCAGTTCACTTCCAGGACAGGGAGAGACAGTTGCAGGAGGAAGAAGGCAGAACAGTGTCGGAGCAGGCGGCGTGCTGATGGAGGAGGGAACACGCCCTACCACAGAAGGTGAAGTAAAGGGGTGAAGACCTAAAAGGATAAGGAAGATGGTCCCATGTCACACATCCATCCAGCACAGCAAAACCACTGACTGATACTAACCCTCTTCCAGTGCTCTGTGCCGACTGTGCAAAGTCCTTGGGAATAGCCACTGACTTCCCCAGAAAGGCAGCCAACAAAACAGGGTGTCACCCAATTTCCCCAGAACTCCACTTACCCTTCCTAACCCACTCCTCCCTGAGCTCTATGGACCCACAGACACATTTTATCCCTCAATCTGAACCACAAAACTGAATTCTGCAGCCATCTTGGATAACAACCAAAGAAATTACTGTCCCACAGTGTGAGAAGGCTAAATTTTGTCTGTACAGCTGAGAATCTCTGCTCTGGTTCTCGATCTGTGGATTAAAGCTCTACTTTGCACCACCTTCTTTTCCATGATTCTTCCTGCCTCCCACTACTTCCTAGAAAAATCCATTCCTTCACAGCCTAGATACGCTTCGGTTGGAAAAGCCATTTTAAATAGAAAGCAGGTTCCTTCTGCTGAGAGAAGTCATCTATGGCGTTGTTTATTTGAATAAAATTATAGTTTTACTAGTGGAGGATCTCTAAGCCTCTATGTTTTAAAACACCTCCTGAACACCTTGGTGGGTTAGAGCACAGGCCAGATACAAATCTATTAAAAACTCTGGGGACTAGTAACTGAATGTGGACTGCTGTCATAGGGAACTGCTTAAACCAACAGCACTTACCAAAGACTTCAAAGCAACATTTAAGAGAAGGGGGTGAGAATAAGGGGAATAAGAATACCCAGTTTTCAGATGGTTGAAGCAAACCTTGGTAAGTTCACAGTGAGATGCAACTCAGGAGATTGGAAATTTAACTGGAGAAAGACTTCCATATAGTCAATCCATTTTGTATGTCGCTTAATAGAGAATGGGCTCTAGGTAATTAGTCCCAAAACATTAACCAGGAACCTAGAACGAATGTTCATGGCATGTTTCACAAGTATTAGAGGATGAACTCCCACTTTGATGACAGCTAATTAAAACACGAAATTGAGACTCCAAGTAAAATTGCCACCTTGCAATCATAAACCGTTCAGAATGCACTCCTGCAGAAAAGCAGACTGCAAAGCAGGTTTCCTGTATCTAGTTCATGCTTTTGGTATCTATCACATTTTGGAAGATTATATTGCAAAACAAACACCCTGTCTTGCGATTGATGTGTTTAGCATACGTCAGATTTGTTTGGGGGAGAAGGTCCTCCCAGAGAATAAGAGCTCTTCTGGTTGTCAGTTAACTAAGTCAAGGCTTGAGTTAACAAGCCAATCTATCAGTTCGAGTGTTTTGAGATCACTAATAAAAGGAGCCATTACTGTTTTATTACCAAAGGCAACATATTCTCCTGAATCAGCAGTCACCGTATAAAAATCAGCATTTGTCAATAGTTATCCAACTATGATACTGGTGTGAAAACACCAATATGTTCCCTTGCCTTTACCAGTTGTTCAGATGCAGTCATTATTCTCATCACTAGATTAGTGTGCCTCTGCATTTTTTTTCAAAGCAGCAGCCATTATTTTAAATAACCCATTTAAACATTGGGTTAATAGAGAGGGGCTGGAAGGAAGCAAGGGGACACAAGCAGCCTGGTAAGTCTGACCTCAGAACATGCAGGTGGAACGCACCCAGAGCTGCCATACACAAGAGAAACTTTTCCACCATGCTTAGTCAGCACACAATAATTAAAAGGGGGAAGATGCGATAAATTCAGCATCCGTATCCACTGGGGCCAAATTCACAAGGACTGCTAAGCTTTCAAAGCTGAAGACAGGTGTCTAGGGGGGTTCCCAAGGCAATCAGCCATCAAGGAAAACCGCCAGGAGCACATAATTACATCTTTGCTTGCCCTGGTAGGCTTTAAAACTGCAGCGTCTTTGACCTCTAGGGAGGTTATTAGAGTTTTAATTGAGCCGCGTTTCTGTGGTGCAAGCAGCTCCCTACAAGAGCTAACCCTCACAGCGTCGCCGGCCCCTGCTACCGGCCCGGCCCGCCTTCGCTACCCAGCTTGGAGAACAGAGGTTTCCGCCCCACCCGGGGAGGGCTTTCCGTGGGTTAATACCCCACCGCCCCACCGTGGAGTCGCCGCCGACCACCAGAGACATCGCCCCGCTCCCCCCCCGCCCAACCACTTTTCCCTCAGAAAAGAGGCGGCAGCCGCCCCCCCACCCCTCCTCCCTCCGCCGGTGCCCGGCCCGGGCCGCCCCCGCCCCGCTCCGCCTCACCTGCCGCCCGCGGCGCCGACAGCAGCAACCGCCCCCTCAACCCAACCCGGCCCGGCCCGGCCCGGCCCTACCGCCTCCCCCACAGCCTCCCCGCCCGCGGCGGGCGGTGCCGGCGGGCGCTGTCGCCCGAGGGGCCGGGGCGGGGCCGGCGCCGCCTCCCCGCGCTGCCGGCGGCGGAGGGCAGCGCTGGGCCGGGGGGGGGGGGGGGGCGGGCGGCCCCTCGCCCGCCGGGCCCCGGCAGCGCGGCGGCGGCTGCGCATGCTCAGTGCCGGCCGCCGCGAAAGGCACGCTGGGGGATGTAGTCGGCGGGCGCGCCGGTGTCCCCTCAGGGTGGGCTTCCCGCCGGGGGTTTGTGGGGCCGGTCCCAGTCACCCCTGCTGCCACCTCCGGCCGGTGGTTTCCCCTCACAGCTTTCTCCCCAGGCTGCGCGGTCCTTGCCTCCCCAACCGGTCAATTTACTTAACCCCTCTGCCTCTCCCAGTCGCCCGCGGCGCTCAGCCCCTCTCCTCACCTCAAATCTCCTTCAACCTCCACCTCGCTTTTCTGCTGTCCTCTCACCGCCTTCCCACACTGACCTTCCCCTCTCCCTCAGGGTCCCTCCCTGACCCTCAGCTTTTCTCTGCCCAAAAGCCTCCTCACTTGCTGCCCACACTCCCCGGCCTCTTGATTTCTTCCACTCAGAATATACGTGCTAAAGCAGAGGGCAACTATCATTATCGTGACTACATGGCTTCCAATCTGCCAGAAAAACCTGACAGGTAGCAAGCACCTGCAGCTTTACCAGAGGAAGGTTCCTTCCCACCATGGAAAGTGTGACAGCTGAGGCAGGCCACGTTCACGTGGTGGGGTTTGGGAAGGTCAGACTTCACTGGAGTAACCCTGGGACTATTACAGCTGGAATAAATCACCAAGAACGTGCTGAGTCTGATACAAGAGGTCGAATCGACTGAGCATGTGGACACCTGTGTGGACAGCACCTCTGCTTGACCCAGTCTCCCCCAAAGTCAGCGGGGATTTTGTCATTCACTTCACTGAGGCTTTTGATTTCTCATGGGAGCTTTCCATTTCCACACCCACGCAGTGCTCTCAGTCAGTGAAAAGGACAAATAATGGTTTGGTAGCATCTTTCAAGTTAGCTAGTGTTTGTATGCATTATTAAATGTTACCAGAGTGACAGGATTGCTAAACATGCATGGAGGAAATTAATGTAAAACTTTAACCATTGAAATGTTTGCCCCTGAAAAGCTGATAGACATTTGATACTCTTTCCTCCAGCCTCTTTTCCTGTCTTGCAGATTTTGTAGCTAATGATCCGAAGAACTAACTTGTGTTATAAGAAATACACACAAGAACAGAGCATTTCCAGAAATGCTTGTTGCTACTCTAAATTTAATTTCATTATGGTCTTTATGAATTTTAGCATTGAGCTCCCATGGACTGATAAGGCAAATGTCAGGCTTCTGAGATTCATTTTCCAGAGTTTGTTCAAGAACTATTACCCTAATGAAATCCACTGCAAAAGATCCCATCTATTCCGTTTCTCGTTAGGTTTGTGAGTTATACTCCAGTCTTAGAGAGACTTCAGAATGCTGGACCCGCATCCTTATAACTAAAGCAACAGTGCAAAATAACCATCATCATCACCATTTTCATTAACGTTTGTTGGAGTAAAAAGTCACTATTTATTTCAACAATGTTTAGAGAGCTCTATTATTTTTCCCAAAGCATTTGTGAGTAGAAATCTTGACTAAGATTTCATGAATACCTGTTTGCATATTCACATAAAATGTCATCTGCATTGATATTTTTCCTCTTTGTTGTGAAATATTTAATGAACAAGTCAAAAAGCCAGACGTTATAGTAATTTGAATTAAGTGGCCAGTCACGTATCACAGACGATGAATGGCCAAAGACACAGACATAATCATTCAAGAAAAAAAAACACCCATAAACTGAAATGTGTTTATATGAAATATTCATAGCATTGAAGTGATTTATTGTCATGTCTGCTTCAGAATAGCCTGTAATGAGAAAAGAGCACAATCTGATAAACTTTTCGTGCAAAATAGTTCATTCATTATTCCTGGAGTAAAAAGCATGTAGACCCACATCTGTTTAAGTCTATCACCTGTAAGAGGTAGGGAAGTGTTTTCCTTAATACAAGGTTTCAGAGTGGATACCAAATGAAAGCAGTGTGAATATGCGAATGGTGGAGACAGTCACTTCATGTGCCCAGACATAGGTGCCTAGTGCCATTTTAGACAGTTTATGTCGCCCAAGGTGTCTGCACAAGTCTGGTAGATACGACATGGAACCTATAAGACACTCTCAACTGGTGAAATGGCAGCTAAAGACCTGGCCAGAACTTGAGTTTCAACATGGTACCACACACTTACGTTGCCCAAATCACTTCTAATGTGAGTGTTCAGGGAATAAACCAGCTTTTGGAGATATGGGCAGAGGACGGGCTCACAATTAGGAGCCAGAACAGTTGAGCCACCTTTTACAGTCCAATAGACAGAGTTGTATCTTCAACCTCAAGCAAATATTGAAATATTTCTGCCTCATACATCCTCACCTCACCTTCTGCACTTGGGTTGTAGCTCTCTTTGTATGTACAACCTCTCTGAATGAGGAAAAATCAGAGGGCTCGATCCTGGAAGCTGCCCCTGTTCATCAGAGCAGCTGATGTGCCTGCTCATGAACATCAACACGCTGGACGGCAGCACTCCAAGCCTTGCTCAGCTGAAGTCAGCTAGATCCACCAGCTTCTTCACTGCGTGTTTCTATGCAATAGCTGCCTCAGCTCTTTTGTCTGTTTACCTAATGCCTCTGCTCTCCCTCGGTTTTCACTTCGTCTGTGTGTGCTGTACAAATTAATATTTGTTGGACGCCAGCACCGTTAACCTTTCTACACCCGTGCAAACAGAAGCATCTACACAAATCGTTGGCAGGATCTTGCTGGGATTGAGCCACCCAAATTTTTTTAAATGTTGGCTTTGTAAATTTTATTGGGTGGGGATAGGGGGACACACAAGTCCAAGGCATGTGGCAGTGTGCCTGTGGTGTAGTTCACATCTCAGCAGAGCTTGTGGGCTGACCAGACAGTATGTAAAACTGTATGAGCACCAGTGATTCAAGTCTTGTAAAAGGTAATGCGCGACATCCATGGAGCGTGCTGCTGTCTGATCATCCTGCCAAAGAGCACCGTTTCAACCAAAAATGTCAGTGAAGCCATTTGGGACTTAAGGCAGCATGTAATTCTGCACGTTGGCTCAGCATATTCTAAATGCGGGTAGCAGAGAGAGCTGAAGGAGGGATTTTGAAAGCGCTACATGCCTCAAACCTCTCTTACAAATTCATGTAATTCACTAAAGAAATGATACATATTCATATCATTCTACCTCAGGTGTAGGAATTTGTTTGGAGGGGATAGACACTTTGTTGCCTCCAAAGAGCAAGATTTCATTAAACTGTCCCTCATTTGGAAAAATGCAAGCAGTGTCCCAACTCTCTGGAGTACCTGAAAGCCAGTAATAGCTGTATCATGATCAGTACCTGTCCCCTGGTATCAATTTTTCACACGCTGATGTCGAACAAATGCAAGAGTAAAAAAAAAAAAGAAAAAAAAAAATCTGCTGCTGAGCAACACTGCCACTGAAGTGACTCATGGCTACGAGGCAGCGAGGGCACTTGGTGTTCTGAAGCTCAGCTCTGATCCCAGTGTTTCGCTCTTCGAGCCCCAGGGCTGGGTAATTGCTGGTGCTGCTAAGGAAGGTTAAGGCTTTTTTTTTTTTTTCTCTTCCTGCAGGTAAAATGAGGTCTAAATGAGCACGTGCTGTTAAACAGGTAAGCAAACATGACTATTCTAGAGAAAGAGATACTGAAAAAGCTTTTAAGAATGTCATCTATGCAGCAACTTTGTGGTGGTATTAAGAGAGTAAAAAGAGGTACCAGTCCCACAACCAGGGCACGGACCCCTTCTTTCTGCTGCTAGCAATTAGATCCCCCTGACTGCAGAAGTGAGCAGCATGTGGCAATCTGTGCTAGCGTGACAGAAAAGCAGCAGAGAGGGTAGCTCTTTCCTAGCTCCTCATGGAGTGGTGATAACTTCGGCTTGGTTTTTGAGTGCTCTGCTTAGTTTAGAGTGCAGGACAGTTAGATAAGCAAACACTTTATTTATTTAGCCATTCATTTATTTAATAGCATGATACAGGCAAGCTATTGAGGGACTTGAGAAGTAAAGAGTTTTCCCTCATAACAGAATTGTAGAGAGATTCACATATATACTTTACGTAGATGTTCCTCTTAAATACAGAAAAAGACTTGCACTAATCTAATATCGTGACTAAATACAAGCCTCCACAATAAAAAGAAGGAATAGGTAGTTACCAGTGACAATGAATAAAAATGACAGGAAAATGGAGAATTTCAGTGACAGTCGACATCAATAGATGTGCCAAAAGCTTGTGAAAGTTCCCTTGTATGTTAAAGTGACTGTCTCATAAAATATTAGTAACTATCCAGAACTGGGAAAGTGTGAAAATCTTGTTGCTGTATAAATTATCTGAGACACTCCTGCCAATTATAGACTTGCTGTGAGGAAAAGAGACATTGGTAATCATGACAGCGACTGTGTTCGAGTGTCATGTGAATATTCTCAGGCAATTATTCAAATCAATCATTTCTTGTCCGGGTAGGAAAGATTAATCACTCTTAGTACCTCGTGTCATTCAGCGACTGAATTGATGATGCTCTGCTATTTCTGGTCTTCTGTAATCTGCCCGTTTGAGATGACAACGCCATCACACATTTAACTGATGAGGTGGAGAGCTGTCCGACAGAAAATGGGAAAACATGGGATGGGATCCCATGAGCAGCAGGTCCTGAGAGACCAGTTCCCTTCTTCATTGAGCAATGTCCAACCCAGAGGTGGTTTTGGAAGTGGCAGGAGCGATGCTAGCCATTGCCACTGGCAGGGTGTAAGGAGGGGGTCACTTGAATGCAGGGGAGAATGCAATGCATTTAATCACTCTTCTTCCATATGGGATGGATATGAGACCTGCTAACCACGTCTTGTCATCACAAGCCCTCCAACTTCAGTGCCTGATGTC